CAATATTATATAATAATAACAAAAATAATATTTTACAGTGTGATACCATTTACAGAATATTATCAAAATATTATATAATTATTACTATACTTAATTTATTTTTAAAAAATATTTGGTACCATTCTAATACTCCTCATTCGTTCGTCTATCCTCCCGAATTTATCGATATTTTATTATTATTATCAAAAATAAAATTAAAAAAAAAAATAAAAAAAAATGAAAAAAAGATGAGAAATAAAGGAAGGATTCCTGGGGATTCCTAGGGATTCCTCGGATTCCATATCGTTAATATATTCGAGTGAAAATGGCTGGTCGCCTTCCGGCAACATCGTTGAACGTTCCCTTTTATACCCTCGAGCGGAAGCAAGCAACGCACAAGAGAAAAAGAGAGAGAGAGAGAAATAGACTTGGATATCTCGTCGTGGAATTGAATTTCGTGCCGCCATTTCCGAAAATCTACTTACAATGGAAATTTTCCAATTTCCACGGACGCGCAACACCGCGTTTAAGTGAGGGTCGAGAGCCGCGTGTCGATATTGTCAATTATCGATCGAATGGGGCCACATCTCTTTCTCTATACATACTATAACGTTTTACTCTTCCCGTTATTCGCACTATACAGTTTTCTGCACTCACTGGTTATACCACTCCCTAGATTGACCACGTTGAAAAGAGGTTAAATTTATGAATCTGACCAAAGTTTTCGTTCGTATTTTAACATCCTTTTTCTTTTTTACCAATCAAACTCATCTACTCCCCCTCTAACATCACTTTATTTAAATAACAATTGTAATTATTTATTGCTAATTTTTAAATCATTTTATGAACAATATTTTTGAATACGATATCACTTAATAACCCATAGCAATATGTAACCACGAGACGTAACCCTGTATTAAGATATTATAAATGGCATCTATCTGGTTGAACCTTTACAGAAATTTGATCACTTATATTTATTTGATCAATATTTTATCAAATAAATAATAGTTACAGTATATTTATATATGAATATTTTGTTACGGTATAAATAATAATTTGACAGTATCTATAATACGGTATCAGTATACATATACCACCATAAATCGATGTGTAATCTTGCCATAACCCTGTATTAAAATATTATTAATGACTTCTGTATGGTTGAAACCCTTGAGAATTTTATTATTTAATAGAAATAATTATTTGTCAATATTTTAAATAAACGACAGTATTCAAAGTTGCATAATAAGGTTCGATAATAATGCATACCAATATATTTTGTTTAAGAATATAAAACACTTATTTAAAATAACAACAATTCTAATGTAAATCTCAAAATAATGTATATACCCTTACGTTGAATACTGTTGATTTAAAAAACTATTAAAAAATACGGATGAAACAAAAACTAATCTCCAAATAAATCGATCGCACTTATTCAACAAATTATTTTATGTATTAAAAACGACACACGTCGATTTAAGATTACCCAAATCCTCTAATGTCAAATGACTCACCCTTGGCATAAAACTCATGTCAGATTGGAAATTATTGACTGGACGGACGTTAAATACATTAAAAGATTTCCTCGATCGGTTAAGTTACAAGAACGAATAACAGTAGATAGTCATTCTATCGTAGACTAAAAAAGGATAACGCCCTATCCAGTTTCGAATTGTAGGGTTTCCCTGTGGATAACCAGACGAAAAGGGTTCCAATTCGATTAGGTATCACCCTTCCTTCCTTCCTTCCTTCCAAAGGAAAGCAAGACGGTAACGATGATGACGACTCTACAACGACAATAGCGTCAGTAACACACAGATGCCGCCAATTTTGTTATTTCAAAAAGAGAGAGAGATAGATAGATAGATAGAATTGGCCAATCTTGGAAACCAACGAACGGGATTTGCTTTTGATCACAGATAAAATAAATGCGGATTCTGTCTTTTCCAACAGTGGCACGATCAATAAACTCACAATCCACAAATGTCCCCTTTAACCCTTAATACCAAGTCAATTCCATCGTCTGCTATTATTCGTTCTTATATTTTCAAATACTTCAGTATAATATTCAATTGTATTAAAATTGTATTTTTTAATCACATTCCCAAACTCAAACCTAATTTTCTGTAATTTACTCTGTAATATTAATTTGTCGATTTAATTTTGCTTTTTCTTTCGTTTTTGCAAGATTGAGGTGTTAAAAAAAGTAGAGAATGCATTCTGGTGTACGATTCTGTTCTCGGTTTGTTCAAGATTTATGTCTTTCTTTTTCTTCCTTCTTTTCTTTTCTTTTTTTTTCGAGTAATCATAATTCTTCGTACCTGTAGCGTAAAAATTGAATTACTTTTCTCGTTAACTCTCCTCGTCAATGGTAGGAAGTAATACGAAACATAGCGCATAGACGACACGGGCAATCCCGTGGAAATGAATTGGGATTACTTTTACGGCGTGTTTCAAACTTCCCGATGGAACTAGCAGTGAGATAGAGACGATAAAATAGAAAGAGAGAGATAGAAAGAGAGAGAGTTTGACGTGGAGTTTGGTGGAAAACGTCCGATGGAGGGTGGGGGTTAAGAGGGAGGTGGTAGAATAGGTGGAGGGGAGTGGTTCACCCAAGGGTACTCCGTGAGGGAGTAGAAAACGGTAAAATTAGCTTAGACGGTAGACTGGAAGTATTGGCAGATAAGCGATATAACGCTTTCACGGTTCGAAGTACGTTTTCACATTTTGCCCGTCTTATTTTTGAAATCCTTCAAATATATTTCCAAACTGTAATTATCAATTCTAGTTGAAATAATTCATTTGGTGTAAAAATAATTACGATTTGAGAGCAATTGATTATTTAATTACGTTGTTATCGAATGTTCCATTGAATTGTTTTCTATGATTCATTTTAGAAATTCAATTCAACGATAATTGACATACAATGGTCGAATTGTAATGAAAGCATTAATCAGTAATGTCAGTGTTTTACTATAATGTATTAAATGTATATAACTAGATTAAAGGTAACTGGATAATGAAAAATGGCAAATATTTTTAATTAATAATAAAATAGAAATTATTTTTATATTAAATTTTGTATATACATGCTAAATATTAGTAGGATACGTTTTAATTGTTATTACGTTGGCAAATAAATTCGTAAGATTTTTTCTAAGTAAATAATAGTACGACAAAATTCGTACAAGTTTATTGACCAACCAACAATGAACGTATATTACATAACTTTAACTGAATGAACACAGTAACTAGGAAATTTTCAATAAATAATTAAATTACCAATTATATATGTTTCTACAAATTGTATATATCCAATATATTTACCATGATAATTTCGACGATATATTAAACAGTATTAAAACAATAATATAAGCAGAAATTAGTAATCTCAATTTAAACTTCAAACAATAATGTGTATTGCATAACCATAACTGAATGAAAAATAACTAGAAAAATTTACACCAAATTTAAACACGTTAAATGTCATGGAAATTATCGGTGACTGACACTTGTAATGTCATAGAGGGTAACCGATGGTCCCCCCAATAAAATAAATGAATTGCACATGATTACGTGCTTTAACTTATTTATTCTAAATAACATTTCAACATAATACAATAAAAAATTCGTAATGACACAACAGGCAAGGAATGTAAAAGAAATCAGCGTGGTATTAAACATGTACAATATTTTGTCACCAATTCAATAATTATTCGAAATTATAAAATGATAACAAAAACAAGACATTTGGTTTTCTCTAAAATACATAAATCAAATTAAAGGAAGATCCTCGACGTAGAATAATTGATTTCTGAAGATCTTACGTTTCTTTAAAGGTTAAAAAGGCTACCGGATGTCGAATAAAAAAAGAAAAGAAAAGGATAAGTGTACACAAGAAGCAGGTGGCTGAACGTCATCTCAGCACGGAAAGAAAACAATGTCGTACTCCTACTTCCCACTCGTATTCGTATTCCTATCTTTCTCTTTTTTAGCTTCCTTTCTCAGTCTACCGATTTTTCGAAGTAAATTGCATTTACTGACTCCTCGTAACGTAAGTATTTCTTCTTCAAATACTCGACATGTCGAGAGAGAAAGAGAGAGAGAGAGTAGCTTCGAGTTTACGAAAAATAAAACATAGATATCTTGTACGTAAATGTTCCCTTTCATTCTGTTTTCTTCTTTCCTGAAAATATTCTGCATTTGTCATAGGAAAAAAAAGAAAAGAAAAGAAAAAAAAAGCGGGAATATTAAATAAAAATTTATTGTGAGGGAAGAGACAGAAGGATGAGGTATACCAGTTATAGAACCAACCAATTCATATCTCAATTCTTTCTTCATTTTCTTTTTGCGAAAACGAGAATTCCAACATGAATTTTTTTTAAGCAATTTTCTCTTCTTTTTCTTAGATACGAAGTGATCCTAGAAAATTGATTCCACGATGAACGAGAATCTTTTTTTCCTTACTCAATCGGATTTACCTTACTGTGAGTGATCGTTTAAAGAGTAAAATTACTATTCGTACGATAGAAAGAAAGATATAAGAGGAGAAAGTCAAAAATAAAATATTATCGTTCATGTACATTTATCCAATACCATTTTTAAATTAAATAAAGAAAAAAGGATATATATTTTAAGTTATCAGATAATTTCATGCCAATTTTATGAAGAAAAATTCTAAGAGAACACACATTTATATTGAACTTTCTTTTTGGTTAACCTAATAAAACAAAGCTTTCTAGGAATATCAACATCACGTCATAAAATAATAAAATAAATTTCTATTAAAAATGAAAACAAATTGATTGGATTAGAATTAAATTATTTATCGAGTTCTAAAAACAGGTACCACCAGTGTCTGCGAATAAATCAAATTGGTAATAGGTTCTTCAACCGATTCTATTAATATCGAATCTATCGTTATTTTTATAATTATAAATTTTATTTTTTTATGATTTATATATATATACTGTATATTTGTAATTAATGTTCAATATTTATGTTTCTAATTACAGCGAAGGAATTAAAAATATGCGGTGGAATAAGCAGCGGCGGTGAAGTTTGTTGTTCCGCCGACATGGAGTTACGATTACAAGCAAGGGCCCGAGACAAGCACGAGAAAGCAACCAGGGATACCCTTCAGCGACTGCATCAACTCTTGTCCACTCGTGGAAATAGATTTCACAGTGAGTATCACCACTCTCACGAGGGCTTTTACAGCGTTGATTTTACAGTGATAGAGACTACGATTGCTCAGACAAGAGAATCCTCTATAACCCTACCTGACTGACTAGTCGTTTATACAAATCGTTCCTTTTAAAACATCACTACTAAATATAACACCGTAAATTTATCTTCTTATTTTGTGTGTTTTTTTAATCAATCATCCAATTACGTATGATTTTTTCATAAATACGATGCAAAATGTTTGCTAATTTACAATTTAACGATTCTTGACAAACAAAAACTAATTGGACTGATATCAATGATTCGTATGATAATAATTGTTGCTAACAATGGGGACAATGTTACTTTGTCAAAGAGAAAAGATGAAAGATCAAATCCCCGTAGGTTGGTAGTTATAAGATAGAAGTGGATACTGACGAAGTATATACTCACCACCCACCTACTACCCTATGTGTAAGATCCTCTTCCAGGTTGTCTGTTGAGTGAACTTGTGAGACTTTTTTTTAATTAAAACAGGGAGAATGAAGATAAAGAGGGGAAATAAAGGAATGCGTGGATTCGTGCGCACGTATATACTTTACTTTACTTTACTTTACTTTACTTTACTTTACTTTACTTAATTCTACTTTACTTACTCCAATAGTCACTTCTGGACCTTTCCGCGACACGTTTCAATTCTGCATCTACACTCAAACTCATTTTTACTTTCTCTTTGTATCCAACTAAACCACGAACGAACATTGGGGTAACGATTTTGGCATTCCCGAGGGTTATTCTCATCCAACACGTACATGCACTTACGCACATATATACACAGAGACTACTTTATTCTGGCTATCCTTTATCTTTGAACTTTCGAACACATTCGATCGAGGAGAAACGATTTTATTGCGAATTCGAAAGAATTTCACTTTGGTAGAAATGGGGTCGGTCAAAGTGGATATTGAGGAGCCATGAAATTAAAAAAGTAGCCATTAAATCTTTCATTTTATTAGTCTGATGTTTTTTCACCTGTTTTAGGTGATAAAATGCTGTTTTAAATATCGGATTTAACGAGTTATGTGATTTAATTATCAAATAACCGAGAAGTTATCTGGAGCTTTGAATTGTTCTATATAATCTTGAATTATTTTAAGTGGATCCCAATTTAAAGTTGTATAATAAAATTAAACTCACAGATTTCATTATTTTTCATAATTAATTTGAGGATTTAAATTCTACAATATGAAATATTATTAAAACAATAACATAACTAATAATCAATAATGTAGTAAATTGTATAATCATAATTTAAATAAAGTTTTAATTTTAATAAAAATTAGGTGACATATTTAAAAAGAAAATAAATATATTTCATTATTTAAATTAAATGAGAGTAAACACATTTTTATATTTGTTCAATAGTTTGTTTTTTTATATAATCGAAAAGTTATATAATTACTCTTTGCATTCGCCATTTTGTTTTTAAGTCTCTCTTATAGGAAAATCTAAACTTTTCTATCTAGAGATACAACAATAAATTATTTCATTTGAAAAAAAAAAAATAAAAATTAAAGAACAATTTTATAGAATTGTAAAACAAGGGAATATCAAAATGGAGGTTATGAGATTAACCATAGAGAATTGTTCGAGTTTAAAGATGAAATGCAGCAGTATCCAAGGAGAATGCAGATAGACAGAGAGAGAGAGAGAGAGAGAGATAGAGATAGAAACGATGGTTTATCCCTCTGTACTTATGCACCTTCCTTCCTACACGCCTTGCAACGGCGTCGATTCGAGAAGATCAGCGGCGGGATTACACGTTCGGAAAACGGGACCGGGTGGGACTGTTGGGAGGTAGGATTAAAAGATTAGCAAAATTGCCGTTTCACGAGGACCTCTGATCGGAGGACCGGTAACTCTTCTCACGTTTCTACAAGGATAACGTTCTCTCTTAAAATATTAGCTTCATTGCAAAAATAATTAGACATTTTCTTTTTTTTTTTACTATTTTATATATTTACTTTTTAGTTTGTGTAATTACCTTTATTCTAGTTATTGTTAATTAATAATAATTGTATAAGAATTAAATTATAGAATTACAGAGAATTTGTTTATTATTATTTTTTCAATTTGTTAATATTATTGAATTTAAGTCTTCAATATTAATATGGCGTCTGTCATACTTTGATTTAAAAGAAAATGGCGATGTTTACCTAATACTTAAACGTTAAATTATCCAGAAAATTCGTATCAATTTTGAAAAAAAAATTGAATATACTTGAAAAATATAAATCGGTATATATATTCCGGACAATCCACAATAATCATAGTAAATTAATAATATTAATGATAATAATAATAGTTGAAATTTATTCTCAGTATTCAACGTTAAATGTAAACCTCTATACATGTATAGGATTATATATCTAGTATAATAGAAATGATTAAAGATAAAATAAATCGATATAGGACAAAATTTCTCGCATCGTTTACGTGATGATGATTCGCAAGCGGATGATGCCTTTGATCGTGCGGATATTCGCATTATTAATTCTATCATCGTATCTCTCTCTCTCTCTCTCTCTCTTTCTCTCTCTTTCACTGACACACACAAATACACGTAGATATTCGTTCAAGTTCCTCTCTGTTCCCAACAAACAGTCTCGTTTGTGGTTTGCCTGCTGTTGGTGAATATTCAATGGAAAAGGGGTTAGAGAGAGATAAAGATAAAGATAAAGAGAAAGAGAGAGAGAGAGAGACAGACAGACAGACGGAGAATGAGAAAATGAACAAAAGGGTGACGAAATTTACATGTCGGATAGGATGCTCATTGTACTTACGTCTATGAAATCTGACAGGTAATACTAACAATCGGTTTTACTATCCTTCGGATGTCCCTTAAACATAGTAATTGTAACCATGACCCTTTTCTATACTCTTTCCTCGTTTTCCACCCTTCCGAATTCGACCAGGAGCTTGACTCTACCAAGCGAACTAACGTGCTCTTTGAATTTTGTTTGTAACTTAACTAGACTGGTGACTTCCTGACAGGTTTGTTTAAGTTTGTTGATCATAGATTATATAATGTTTGAATTAAGGGATAATTATTTATAAATAATTCATGTTTGATAACTCGATTAGAATTATTATTAATTTTGTTTTATGATTAGATTGAAAAACATTTTCTGTATTTGGAGTTATATATATTTTTGTACGAGTATAACATTTATAATTTATTACAATAAACTAATATCGTGAAAAAGGTAATAGGACAACAACGTAAAATCCTTTTATTTCACGAAGAATTAAGTTTAGCATAAACAATTTTTTTGTAGATTAATTTAATACGTTTAATGAAAAAATCGTTATGTCAAGGAATACAAATCTTTATTTAAAAATATTCTTACAACAATATCTTTCACCGTATCGAATAAAAAATTGCAAAATTTATATACAGAAATACGAAATCCTGAATTTCACGACGAATTAAAAAAAAAACAAAAATTGTACACAATTATTTTATTAAATTAATTATATATATATATTTAAAGAACAATCGTTATGTCGAATAATCAACAAAATTCCATATTTAAAATATCCTTCCCCCCTTTAAACGATTAAAAATTCAATCCTATATTAATGTATTACAAAAAAAAAGAAGAAGAACATATATTTAACGCGCGGATTAAAAATAATATCTGTCGTCTACCTATGCCTAATATGTGCGGCCTGTCACTTTGACATATTGATGATTCCGAAAACAAAACAAAAAAGAAAAAGGAAAGAAAATATCAAACACGGCACACCGTCAAGATAAAAAAAAAAAAAAGCTCGCGAGATCTAACGATCCTAATTAACGAAATTACTCGGTGCGGTGCGACGCTTCTAACGGTCCGTATTCGAGTCTTCAATCTTTTCCATAGCTTTCGTTGGTACAGAGTCAACGTGCAACCCTTTTTCTCTCTCTCTCTTTCTCTTTCTCTCTTTCTATCTCTATCTATATTTCTCTTACTCTTTCCAACCACCTTCAACACCAAGCAACCCCGTATGCAAGGTTCCTTTGAGGTAGTACCTAGCTCTACCTAGCTACGTATCCACTTTACTTAGCACTCTGCATGATAGAAGTTCACAGAGAGAGCCTTCTAGACTCGAATACGGAGAAGGGTTCTCTTCTAAGCTTATACAGGGTGTCGCAAATGTCTTTAGGTCTGTCTTGATTTTATGTGTTACCAGTTCTCTCTCTCTCTCTCTCTTTCTCTTTCTCTCTATTACTCTAAAATCTGTCTTCTTATTTAATTAATATCATCATAAGACTGGGAACATTTCTAAATGGATGTCTCTCGCGTACAGATAATTAACTTAACGTTAAGTTACATTATTTAATATACTCTCCTTTTAAATATATATAATAGTTGACTTTATTTCATCGATTACTTTTTTTTTTTTTTCAATGGACTAAAGGTAAAAGCTTATAGAATGTATCTTTTTTTTTTTAATCGAATCTTTTAAATGAAGTATAATCAAAAGTAATAGTTTTATAATTGCATATTAAGGTTGGATTTCGATTTTATTAAAATCATTTTAATCGACAAATAAATACTTTTATAATATGTCTGTCTGTCTCTTTCTCTCGTATAGATACATACATGCATATATGCACAAACTATGATTCTTATAAAGCTATCATAATAAAACTGAAAGAATTAATCCTTTATAATCATGTTTATAACTTTGAAGTAACGATATTATTTTAATTAAATGTTTTTCTTTTTATCTTTTAACATGGACGTGTAAAAATATCCTTGTAAAATCTTTCATTGATAGACGACCAAATGGTTCTTTTTTTTTTTTTTTATATATATATATATAAATAATTATTAACATCAACTTTTTAAAAATATCAAACTAATGGATAGAAATTGTTTAATTCGCCGTTAATTTTTACTCGTTGCGAAAGGGGAGAGGGTTAATATTCGTCAAATAATATAAATACTTTTCATAGCTCGCAAGGGGGTTAGAGAGAGGGGTTAGCAGAAGAAAAAAATTCGAGGTATAAAGGGTTAAAATGGGTGGACTTAGTGCACACCGAGGTTGTCGTTGGAATGAAAATTAGTCGATATTTCAAAGTAGGGAGGGGGTAGGTAATAAGGAGTGAGGAAGAGGAGAATAATAAAGGGGAGGGGAGCTAAAAGCAAAGAAAAAACTTATGGAGCATTGAAAAGAGAGCGAAAGAAAATAAAAGATTAAAATAAAGGAGAAAAAAAATTAAAAAGAGAAAAAACGAGAGAGAGAGAGAGAGAGAGAGAGAGAGAGAGTGCAAGAAAGAAACTCTGTGTGTGTGTACGTGTGCGTGTATATGTGAGAAAGAGAAAAAGAGTTTCAAAGTCAAACAGAAAGAGAGAGAGAGAGAGACAGACAGACGGACGTAGTAAATGAGAGAAATTTAGATAGAAAGAGAAAAATGCTAAGTAAAACAGAAAGAGAGTGAGTAAGAGAGTGTGTGTGAAGGAAAAAGGAGGGGGAGGGGAGAATAGCATGGCAAAATATCGCGAATTAATAGCCGAGACGAACTTATACCGTCGGTGTTAAGTGCTTCCTCCTTTTCTCTCTCTCTCTCTCTCTCTCTCTTTTCTTTTTTTTCACACTCGCCTTGCCCTTTGTACGTCAACTACGACTATGGTAGACGTATACGAGACGACGACGTAGACGTCGACTAAGACTACGACGATGACTGCGATGGCGGCCGATTCGTTACACGAGGAGGAGGAGGAGGAGGAGGGGGAGGAACGTGTACTCGTCGTTAAAAGGAATTTTAATCACATTCTTCGCGGCTGAAGTGACGATAAGGAGGTTCCTGCTAGGGTGTACTGCCCTTCCATCTCTTTCTCTCTTTCTCTCTCTCTCTCTCTTACTTTTTTTCTTTATAACTCATTTACACTTACAAACTCATATTCTATCTCATTCTCATAGATAAGTGTTAGTTTATAGGTGTTGGTCGGTAAGTGACTGTGTGTGTGATAGTGAGGAGAGAGAGAGAGAGAGAGTGGTTTGGCTTGTGTGAAGCATGACGAAAAAGAGAGAACGAGAAAGATAGAAGAAAATAAAAGAGAGGGAAAGCTAGGTACTCGCCGCCATTGTTACCGCGTGCTTCGAGTACTACTACCCCTAGACGTTTTACTTTTTAGACCCTATCTTTTTTACCCTTCTCTCTTCTTCTTTTTATTCTCTCCCTCTCCCTCTCTTTCTCTTTCTCTTTCTCTCTATTTCGCAACTCTCAAACACTCCCTTTTCTAACTTTCCTCTTTCTCCTTTCATCATTCCTTTCTCTTTTCCATCAACCGTCGATTCGTATCATTGATCGAACCATTTTTATGAGCCACCTCTTTGAATGAACGAAGAAATAAACTTTTAAATCAACGATTATTCCCATCAACTTAATTGCTACCCTTTCAGGATTGGTGATAAAATAAGGGAGATAGTTGAGAATGACTCGTTCGTTTCTATTGGGCTTTACAATTAGAAATGAATCCTCTCGCGCAATAGGGCGGGGATCAATTCAATTGATATAATTGACGGTTAACCTAAGTGGTTAACCATTCTCGTCGACACCTCAAACTCTAAAGTTAGAAGAAAAAATAGAATAGAAATATTTTTCAAATAAAAGTTATATTGCAAGTAATATGCCACTGAACGAAACACTGTGCCGAAAAATGTGCACGTTGCAACTCGGTAGTTTTTGATGTTCGCACTTAGGTTTTTTAATGTCATCTTGGAGACTTATTTTGATGTTCAGAATATATTACGTGGCTTTAAAATATACACTTTTAATAGGTCCAATAATACGGGTCAATAGAATATTGATTCTATCTATATACAACTATTCTATATATAGAGTATCTATTGAGATATACTCTACAGATAAAGTAGAATTTTCTTGCCGATTATAATCGATACTCGCATGCACAGGTTGTCGCATGGATGCCGACTATATCCGGCGCTCATGCAAAAAGGGTTAATTCTGACATGGATCACGCGCAGTTATTTTTCGTTGGATAAAATTTGTTGATATGTAATATATATAATTGTTTGAATGTAACATATTTTAATGATAAAGTTAAGTATTTATACTGTTAAAAAAAAGAATAAGTAAAACGCGAATTAACTAATAAGCTATTTTGATAGCAACAAAGAGTTTATTAGTCAATGAGATGATAATCATGATACAAGTGTTAATATCACTAACCAGTAATCTAAATCAATTTAAGTCAGTAGATTTTATAATTTTACCAATCATTGCATCTCGTTATACGTCACATAACATAACACATTAAAAAAACTTATTTAAAAGAACATTGTTTGCTTCAAATTCTATTGAAAAGACATTCTGAGACCTCAGGGACTTTTCTGGGCGCGTTTAATGCTTAATCCGTCACTATTCTCACGTCTAAGGGTTATTGTACCTTATGTAGAACATTTCAATATTTTAATTAATAAATGTCATGAATTGAGTCGTATTTTAAATTTTATTGAAAATTATATATTTTTATATGTTCACACAGCAAACTTAAAAATCAAGTTCTCCATATTAATAACTATTTTTATAGTTAATTTTTGTCCTATTTTGTTTTATCGTCTAAAAAGCTTAATAGAGACAATTTCTCGTTTTTAATTGTTCCGTTTTAAAGGATTGGTAATAAAAGGTAAAAATAGTTAAAACTATTGGTATTATATTTGGACTAAAAACGGTATCGTTAAACTTAGGAATTATTTTATTTTCTTTTATATTTATAACTTGTCCTGTATTTCAAATGTGTCTCTTCATTTATGTGTTCTATTTTTATTTTTTCATTGAAAAACAAAAAATAACTGAATTTAGATGAATTATTTCCTCATATTAATTGTTCCCATTTTAGAGGTTGAACGGAGTATTAAATATTATAATTTAATTATAACTATGTGGAAACATTTTAAAATTAAATTAAAGATAATTAAAATTGTAATACAGCTAAGCTAAAATAACGAATAATCAAAAAATATTTGTTTATCTTCCTTAAAAGTTTTCTCAAAAATTTGTAAAATTAATTGAATATTTCTAAATTTAAAAATAGTAAATAATACTATTTTAAATATTATTTATATTAACTACAATATAAAATCGACCACCTAAAAGAAACTAATTGTAACCTTTACAAGATTTTATTCTCTTTTTTTTTTTATTTTTACTTAAAACATGTGTCCCACATTCGAGAGAAAGCACCTAACTATTTAATTTTTATTTTTATTTTGTTTTTCGCTCGCAGGCTTTTTCAAGGAGCTCTTAGCAACCAGCAAGAGAGGCTTCCACGAGATGTTCAAGAAAACTTACGGAATTTTGTATGAACAAAACTCTTACGTATTCACGGATCTCTTCAAGGAACTTGAGAATTATTATGCGAAGGGAACAGTAAGTTTCCTCGTTGAATTCTATTACTTATCGCGTCTTGCATTTATCATTCCTACATTAAATTCTATTGAAGAAATTTGAATCAATTAACAAATATTGATTTTTCTTTTTATTTTCTAGGTCGATCTCGACGACACGATGGACAATTTCTTCAACACGCTTTATCAAAAAATGTTTACTGTATTAAACAGTCAATATAAATTTGACAATAAGTACTTGGAATGTGTTGGTGATCATATGAAAGAAATGAGGCCATTCGGTGATGTACCTCAAAAACTGAGCGTTCAGATTAAAAGATCCTTCGTTTCTACTAGAGCTTTTAGTCAGGCACTTACTGTTGCTGCAGATGTTCTAAAAAACATGCAAACGGTAATATATTTATTTCATAAATATCACCAAACTATTTTATTGTCTATTTAAGCAAATTTTTTATATTTTATATACAAAAATAAATAACACACTCTGAATAATATTAATATTATTTTATATATAATAGATTTCTACATTATCAAACGTATACACTAGTTTTATATATTTTTATTTTTCTCTATATTATTATTTGCAATAAATAATATTTAAAAATATTAACCTCATAGAAAAAGTGAATACTCACTTTGTTATTAATTTTAATTTTATGTTAAATACAATCTTGTCAAAATAATAACCATTAAAATATGAACGACCTAGTTGTGTTATTGATCTAATTGATTTTCATCATTTATTCATTATTATCATAATAATTATATAATATGTGTATGTATATATATATTTGTAGTTGAAATCATCACCAGAATGTGCATCAGCGTTGACAAGAATGACAGCTTGTCTCTCGTGTAGCGGGATCGCAGGCAAGGTGTTAGCTTGCGGCGACATGTGTGCGAACGTAATGAAGGGTTGTTTAGCTCAGCACGTGGCGCTTGACGGGGAATGGAATCAGTTCGTTGGTCAGTAATAATATTCTACCGTAATTTTTATTCTTCATTAATTTTTAATCAGAACACCCCAACCTATCATATATTGTTTTATTAAAATTTCCTCCAAAGAATCCAAAATATACCAAAAAAGAAAATTTGTAATGAAAATTTGTTCGTAAATTTTGTATTTAAACAGAGGCATTTGACAAAGTAGCAGATCGTTTGCTGGGTCCATTCAATATAGAGATGTTGATGAAACCAATAAACTTAAAGATATCCGAAGCGATAATGAACTTTCAAGAGAGCAGTAGCGATGTTTCGCAAAGGATATTCACAGGATGTGGTCGTCCTGTGTTGGGTAGACGAAGAAGAAGAGATAACAGAGAACTCGAACTTGAGTCATTGAACTTTGATCAGGAAACATCAGGTGAGGATCGTTCCTCGACTGCTGCGATACTGGACAAGCTCGTCAAGGAGATAAGACAGAGGATAAGAGACTCTCGACAGTTCTGGGTCTACCTACCCTATCAGTTATGCAACGATGGTTTGGTACAACCACCTAGCAATACTAAGGAATGTTGGAATGGTACGCACGTCGATAAGTAAGTACAATCCAATTATCTATTATCATTTCTAACTCGTTTCAAACATATTAATTATGACATTTATAATTGGAATTTATTTTTGCACAGTAGTGTCTCGACAAATTATTATTGATTAAATAATTTGTTGTTGTTGTTGTTTTTTATTTTTCCAAATTGCAAAAACAAGACAAGTATATGTTTTATGGGATTGATATTTTTATAAATGATTTATTTCTAGATATATATATCCAGTATCCTCGGATGGAGAGACGCAACCATTAAATCCAGAAGTACGAAGTAGCGGACCAAGGCCTACCATCGTGAGGGATCAAATTTTTGCTCTGACGACGATCACGAACAGGCTTAGGTCAGCGTTTAATGGTCAAGATGTTGACTGGATAGATACAGGTATGTATTATTGTGTAAACCCCTGAATTCAGTATTGAATACTATTTATTCAATATTAATTTTACTGGTAAAGTAGGAATTGTGAACAATGGCCTGGCGTTTTTAGGCAATGTAGGAAACAGAAGAATTGTTACAGACTTTTCCTAGACAATGTTAAAAAGAAAGATATTCATAGAGATCACCATGAATGAATCACTTTATAATAAATTAATTGCAATCTTTGAAATAAATTAGGTGTTTCATATTAGATACTGTTAGCCTATACTTGTTAATCCTTAAAAAGAAAATTAATAACAGTACCTTCATTAACATTTATGTTATCCTAAAAATTAAACTCCTAGTTTCCATCTAATACTAAAACTTAGTTTAACCAGTATAACTAAAAATCTCTCATGAGTCTAATATAATTGTTTTGTTTGAAAATATTCATTTTTAGAGGAAGTATGGTACGGATCCGGAAGTGGATCAGGTGACGGTTCGGATGGTATGGACAACGAGGATCGTTTCGTAGAAGGATCAGGTTACGGTGGTGACCATTCATTACCAGAACAACCACCGAATCAACCAACACCTAATAGAGGTCCGGAAGAAGTACCACCAAGAGTAGATGTTGATATCAAATCAAACAACGATAACAACAATACCAAGAAATATGGCAATACAACGGACACAGCTGATAGTGGAGCAACCAGACAAAAAATATCTTTGTCACGAGCATTGACGACGTATCTGGTGCCGATAGTTGTCATGTGGTTTGGTGGATGTCTCACCGAGTGGCTGTGATCATACGGCTTTATTATAATCGAGCAGTGTACTACAGTGTAAATATCTCTTTTTAAGAGAACAACAACAGTAACTCCTTTTCATTCAACAATCCACTTCGACGATCCTTGTATTCGTCGTTGTTGTTGTCATAGTTATTATTGTCGTGAAACTGATGCGTTAGTGATCGCAAAGAAAAAAAAAAAAAAAATGGTATTTTTTTTCGTTGTATAAGCGAAATTTTCATCGACGATAATTACAAGTAAAAAAAAGTGAGTTTTATATATAAAATAAGAAAATATACTATATGAAGTATATTTTCTTCTACTTCTTCTTCCTTTTTTTTTTTTTTTTTTTTTTTTTTATTCGACATTTTAGGATTAATTTTTTTAGACGCTCGATTGAAACTGATCGATCTTATCTATCTATTTTTTTATTTCTATTATTAACGTGAGAATCTTTACGCGATATGAGTGCTTAGATCTAATTAATTAAACTAAATTCGATTAAATTACGATATAAAAATATAAACAAAGAATTCTATGATACTGGAACTGAGTATACGAGAATTTACATTTATGCTCCGGCATTGAACTCTCCAAAGCGCGCGGAATTATTCAGTTACTTTAATCGAACCGAGAAGAAAAGAGTATATTTTTTTTTTTTTTCTTTTTTTTTTGGTTTCTTATAATTACTATACTTGACTCTTTAATATTTCGTTTCGTTAAATTAGATTCGTCAAAACAAAAATGAAAAAAGAAAATCATTTACTTTTGTCTGCGTGTTTGCGTTCGTTTAATCCTCTATAACCTAAATTTTTGTTCTTATTTACAAAAAAACATTTGATGTAATGTGACAATTATAATATTTGTACTATAATTGCAATATTTAATGATTTTAGAAAAAAATATTTAAAATACATCAAACATGTATAATAATTTTGTTACGATAAAATAAAATGATGGAATGCGCAAGTTTGTGTTTGAATTTTAAATTGCGAGACGTGTTATAGAGGGTTAATAAAAAATATTTTCACCTTATTTCTTTTCGTTAAGTTACAATATTGTTGTTTTCTTCTTCTTCTTCTTCTTCTTTCTTCCTTCCTTTCTTTCTTTCTTTCTTCTCGTAACTGATATAAATATTACGTCACTGATACGCTAATCGGCCCAAATTTAGTAACCAAACAAGAAATTGCACATAATTAAGTGTCAAAACGTCGTGCGACATAAAACGACAAAAAAAAAATCAACAATCCTTGCTAAAAAGGCTGAAAGTAAAAGAGAGAGCTCCTGTGATAAAATCAAAAGTAAAATGAGCTCGTATCATCGTCATCGAATCGTCACCAATAATTAGCTACCCGCGTTGCCGCCGCACGCGCAAAATTTCTTCGACAAAAAAAAAAGAAAAAAAAAAAAAAAAAAAAAAAAAAAAAACACTATAATAAAATTAATGCGAATCGGTAACATTGTTCGCGAATTCACTGATTGATTAAAAGGACATTAAATATCTATATATAAAAGTAAAG